AGCCACAACCCCAGTCCTATAGCAGTATTCTTTTTTAAAAAAATATTTATTCTTTAGTTGTAGTTGGACACAATACTTTTATTATACATATATATATATATATATATTTAGTTGTAGATGAACACAAATATCTTTATTTATTTATTTGTGGTGCTGAGGATCAAACCCAGGGCCTCAAACTTGCAAGGCAAGTGCTCTACCACAGCCCCAGCCCCCTATAGCAGTATTCTTGATCACAATTCTATTTTTTTCCTTATGTTCACCTTATTTTTGTATTTCTAGAGATTTTAATAATCTAACCTCTTTGGCTAGTTGGAAATAGTATGTTTTGTTTCTCACACTTATTTGATCCCAGAGCCTTTTAGATGCTATGTTTCTAGGCTCATACTTTGAGAAATGCCTTTGTAAGATAATAGATGACATAAGTGAAGTTCCAGGCATACAGGAAGCACTCATAAACAGGGGCAGCTACAGCCATGGAGCATCCCTACCAGAGTAATTGGATTTTGCAACCTTAACCACATTCTTGAACTTCCTCATCTTGCCCAGTCTCATCATCTCTCAGTGCAACAGAAATAAACTTCCTCCCAGGTCTAACCGCATCACATCTGTCCTGTCCCAGCAAGAGGTCCTCACTAGTCCCAGCTTGTCCTACCTGCCCTGCACCAAGCCACCCCAGCCCAGCCTGTCCTGAGATGGTAATACTTACTAGCAAAAAAAGACACCAGAGTCCTGTGAAAACCCTAACTCTCGAATATGTTAGCAAAAGGCTCCTCTGAGAGCCCAGAGATTTCAGGAATTAAGTTTAGGAAGGAGTAAATACATTATTAGTCTCACAGGAATCTGAACCTTTGAACGAGTACCTTTTCTTAGAGGGATTTGTGATATTTTAATTTTCTCTCAAATATTGGCGCAAAGCCAGTAGTTAGGTAGGCTAATCTGGTTTGAATGTGCCTCTTAAGAAACTGTGCCAGGACAGAGCAATAACTGCATATTACTTAATGTCTCTCAGATTCCCTTTTCTCATACACAAAATGGGGGAACCATATCTATCTTGCAGGTTTATTGTGAGCATGAAGTGGATTAAATGTGCATAAAGCACCTGGACCGTGGTAGGCACTGAGGAGAAGAGAGGTAAGAGTCTGGAGGAACAGAGTCTATGGACCCGCAGGTAGTGAGGATCTTGACCACCAAGAGAGGACAGCATGAATCATTTTACATCTGGGAAGCCCCAGGCTTCTAGCCTTTTAGTAAAATGATGAAGTCGCTCTTTTTAAGGAAATTGAGTTCAAACCAAGAGAAAGGGAGTCAGGGAGGAAGGGAAACTGTGGTGTTCTGTGATATTAAAGAAACTTCCCCTTAGACAAGTCTCTAACCAAGAGTGATGTCAGAATTGGAGTTAACTGTTAGCACCTCAAAGGAGAAAGATGAGGGCAACTCAGTGCCTACGTTGTCACAGATCTTGCTATGGTTGGAGATGGGGTGCCCCCTGAAAAGCTCACGTGTGAGATAATGCAGAAATGCTCAGAGGTGAAATGATAGATAATGTTACTATTTGATGGATTAATCATTTGAATAGATTACTGGGTGGTAACCATAGGTAGGTGGAGTGTGGCCAGAGGAAGTAGGTCACTGACTACTTGTTCCTATCTCCTCTCTCCCTCGCTGCTTCCCACGGCCATGACCTAAGCAACTTTCCTCCATCCCGCCCTGCTGCCATGATGTTCTGCTTCACCTTGGACCCACAGCAATGGAATCAGCCAACCATGAACCTCTGAAACCATGAGCCCCCAATGAACTTTGCTTCCTTTAAGTGGTTCATATCAGGTATCTTGGTCACAGAAATGAAAAGCTGAATAATAGAGA